CTCCCTCCTCGGTCTCTTCGTCCCTCCTCTCTCCTTCCTCTCCCCTCCTCACTTCTCTCTTCATCCTCTTGCCAATAGCTGGCCGACAGTTACCCATGTTCCCATGGCAGTTCCCTTTGATAGCTGGGTGACAGTTTCCTGCCATGGGTGACAGTTCCCTTCGATAACTGGGTCCGGACAAGAGGTAGTTGGTGGAGTTGTTTATTAATCAAGAGTTGAAAAGAAACTTCCTTCTGATTGAGATTACTCAATCCTCTGCTCTCCTTTCGGTGTTGTGGTGTTTGACAGCTTGGTTTTCGTTTGTCTCACATACTGCGGCGCCTGCTACCAATTGCTATGTACCTTCTTCAGGCAAGTTTCCCTGTGACCCAGGTTTACCTCTCTTGCAGGTCTTGCATTTCCACAAAAAAAAAAAAGAATTCAGCTTTGGATAATTACAAACCCATCATGAACCAAACCAGTAAAGGTTGGTAACCCGTCTTGTACTCAGCTATCCCTGTCTCTTATACACATCTAGATGTGTATAAGAGACAGGCTATGTACCTTCTTCAGGCAAGTTTCCCTGTGACCCAGGTTTACCTCTCTTGCAGGTCTTGCATTTCCACAAAAAAAAAAAAGAATTCAGCTTTGGATAATTACAAACCCATCATGAACCAAACCAGTAAAGGTTGGTAACCCGTCTTGTACTCAGCTATCCGCACTGTTGTTTTTCTTCTTTTTTTCCCCTCAACAATTTGGACCATTTCTCTATTTATGCGTGTCATCCTTGCGCAGGGGCCATGCTAATCTTCCTTCTCTGTATCGTTCCAATTTTAACGGTTCTGACTTGAGGAATTCTGAATCTTAGGGCCAGGCTACGTCTCTGTCTTTTTGTTAGGAATCTGACGGTGAGAATCGGATTGTAAGCTCTAAGATAACATATGACATTCTTTGATTGCAAATAACCTGGACAAAGACGTGGCTTAATGGGGCCTGCCCCTATTCCTCAATAACCCCTTATCCTCAGCAAGCCTCCGTATCTTCACTAAATCCCTCTTCTTCGCTAAGCGACTAAAACCCTCGTCCACATTGAGTCCTTTTTTTTTTTTTTTTCTTAAGATAAAACAGAACCTCTTGGTTCTGGCTCCTGCCATTCTGGGGAGCAACAGTCTGGTTCCTATTCCCCCGGCAAGTCAAATTGGGATACATATACGACTCACGCACGCTCCTCCCCATTATGGCTGGGAGGTCCGAGTGGACGGCATTGATTACTTCCCTGAGGTAGGATGTACCACCCCTCACCCCTGCCTAAGTTAGCCTGTGCTACTTATATTGCCTGGCTGTTTCCGAACTGTCTGGCCCCTGTTCTGTTCCTCTCGGCTGTGGAGCTGTCGAGTTGATGTGTTGTAAGAGAGCGGTCTGGGGTGGATGTGCTGTTTTGGAGGTTTCTAAAAACTCTGAAGCCTTTCTTATCCCGTTTCAGTCTAAATTTTTAACCCTAAAACCTCGGTTGTGTTGTTGTTTTTCTAGCTGTCAGCTATGTCCCTGGATGTCAGAACTGTTGGAAGGGGCGTTTGGTGGAGACCTATGTTGGACCCCGATCCCTATTTGACTTATCATAAGTGAGCTCCATGACCTTGCTGGTGTGAATGGGGGATTGCAGATCTTGACTCCTTCGGGTTCTGATGCCTTACTGTTTAAAAAGACTCTCCTCGTTGGCTGTAGGTCGTTCTGGTGTAGCTGAAAGAACTGGGTTGCGTTTCTTCTGATTTGTGCTGTTTCCTCGCCAATTAAAATTCCGGCTATTGCTTACCCTGCCCATCGGCTGCTCTCTATATGTCGAAACATGCGGTTATAGGGCTTTAGATCCAAGTTATGTGAGAGTTCTGGAAGACGGACGGTGCGTTGATGTCCTTCATTCTCGCCAAACTGTTTATCCTTACTATAGGCCTCTTACCCTCTCCAAAACCCTTTTATCTTCACGAACCCCCTTATCTTCACGAACCCCCTTATCGTCACTAAACCCTTTCCCGGAGTGCATCCTTAACTAAACCCCGTATCCTCTCTATACCCCAGAGCATCAAGACAACTGAACCGACCTTGTAGAACCTTCCATCGCAGGGGGAATCCGCCTCCACAAAAAGAGGCTCGGAGGTGGTGTGTTGGTTTACACTGTTTCGGGACGGACAATTTGTTGCTTTGTAATCATCGGTTTGTTCTGCGCTGATTCATTGAGATGCATGGATTTGTGGTTTTCTCGCTGATGCAATTCGTGCAGAGGGATGGCGAATACTTGATGGGACATGACATGTTCCTGAAGCGAGTTGCGTCGTCATTCAACTCTTTTGTGGAGGGATCTGAGAAAAGCTGTCGAGACAAGTATGCTATAATTATTATTTGCAACTTTTTGAATTCGTTCCCTTTGACTCTCCCCCACAAACCGTCAAGCCACCTCCTATGGGCCACTGATCTTTCTTACTCCCACTCCTCCGCACTACAAATCGGCACAATCAGTCCAACTTATTTGTACAAATCAGCACAATCACACATGCTATTGCTGTCGCAGCAATCTAGGCTGATCAGGATCGCGCACATCCAAAGTAGAGCTATCACGCTTGCCATTAAGAACAACAAGGGGTTACCGTGCATCATATGAATAGCTGCATGGGTTTGACATTCAACTACAGGGCTGTGGTATTCTCTCGCTGCTGTAATTCCTGATGTGATTGCTTTCGCCGCTAAGAACATGCGATGATTGCTGCCTCTGTACTTGTTTTTTTATTAGTTTGTTTTTTGTTTTGAATGCTTTTGTGCACCCCTTGGGGGGGGGGAAGGGTTGAGGCGGGGGCACGGTCAAGATCAGACTTAGGGTTGTGTTCATTGTTTCCTTAGGCAGTCCACTCCGGCGGATTATGAGGGTTATGTCGGTGGATTATCAAGTGTTTGGAGTCTTTGGACCCAAAGTCAAGGCCGGAATTGGCCTTCTGGTGATTTCTTTTTAGGCCGTCCACTCTCATGTACTGAGAGGGTTACTCTGGATAATTTTCAAGTGTTCTGTTAAAGGGAATTCGTCTGGTCCGGGGCCAGGGGGCAGGGGGAGAGGGGGGGGGATGATGAATCAGAATTGTGGGCTTGACTGACAGTCAATTCTTCTGCAGGGAAGTAATCAATGCTGTCAGAGATCCTGGGCGATTCTGTGGGGAGGCATTAAACCACCAGTACATCCAAAAAAGCAAATTGAGCCTCTCCTAAAAAATTGGAGGCCATGGACCGTCGATAAAATGAATCGGCGGCTCATCGCCTCCTATTTTTTTTAGGAGAGGCTCGATCTGCTTTTTCGGATTTAAGAGTGGGTGCTGTTTGCATTGCATGACTTGCCAGTCGAATAGGAACCGGACTGATGCTCCTCAGAATGGAAGTCAAGGCTGGCCCGAAAGGATATGTTTTTGTTTTCTTTTAGAAAAAAGAAAAACGAACGTCTCGTCATTATTGCTGTATCAAGAGTCTAGAATGGTCATCGTATGAAATACAGGTACAATGACTGGGCTCTCTATGGGCAGGATTTTGCGGGTGGTGAAAGATAGTAGTGAAGGTAATACTTACATTCGGAATAACGTCAGAAATAACCAGGATCGTGGGGGAAGAGAATTTTGCAGATGGTGAAAGAAAATAGCGAAGGTAATATTTTCGGAACAACGTTGGTAATGGGCAGGATCTTAGGCGGGCTGGAGCTTCGGAAATAGAAGTGGGAAGAGAACTGAGGTAACCGTGTTGAACAAACGGAGCAAAGAAAGGTCAAAAACAGATATGACAGACCTAATAACCTGAGGATTTACTGTGGATTTGGGGGGTTCAGATTTCCAACGGGTATAGGAGATACGGGCCTTCCTGATAAGCACGTCAAAACGTGAGTATTTGTTGAGGATTTTGGGTTTCGGATTTCCAACGGATATAGGAGATAAGGGCCTTGCTGATAAACGCGTAAAAATTCTAAAATGTAGTCCTTCGGGACATCCGTTAAAATTGGAACGATACAGAGAAGATTTGCATGGCCCCTGCGCAAGGATGAAACAGATCTGGCATAGGGCGAGAACTCTGCAAAAACGGTAGATACAGGTCGGGATGTGGTGAACAGCAACTGGGCGGGAAAGTAGCAGAATATGTTGACATTGATACTGGGAAACGAGTGGGAATGCTTGGAAGGTACGAAGGTACGGTAAATACAGGTCTGAATGTGGAGGACAGTGACTGGGTGGGAAAGTAGTAGAACTAGACTAACGGTATTCTGGGAAGCAGGTGGGAATACGGGAAAGTTACGAGGGTGAGGTTGATCAACCTGGATGGGTAAAGTTCTGGTATATTACGCGTAGCTCCCTGGTTACCCGTCATCTCGAAGTCGAGTCCCCCTGACGAGGCTGGATCTGGCATCAGCTGAAACCGGTAGGGGAAAGCCAGAGTACTCTGCTTCAGTGCTTCACGCTTACCTGTATGATAGGCGAGTACACCATAGTGGATATGGCGGTCCCTAGGGAGAGTAGTAGTCCTACCGTGGTTAACGACGAAGTCTCCGTTTCTTCCTGATTATTTCTCGTTGCGTTCAATTTGTGAAGTCTTCGTTTCTTCCTGATTATTTCTCGTTGAGTTCAATTTGTGAAGTCTTCATTTCTTCCTGATTATTTCTCGTTGAGTTCAATTTGAGTTTGAGATGTCACATACGTCGCAGGTTCTTGTCTCTCATGAGTGCTAACTTGCTATGTGATGTATTGGTCACGATTTACGTAGTACCATAACCCTTCCTCAATCTCTATTCAGGTGACAAAGGTAGCAGAAATACTAAACACATATCCTCAAATGCCCCTTTCACTGTTTTCACTGCTTAGGGGGTGAGCTGGTGAAAGCTGGAAAAGGTGAGGGGTAAGGGGGG